GTAACGAAAAGGTGTCGCCTCAACACCACACCGCAGAACACAAGCTGCCCCTCTAATCCATTGCTCAGCCACATTAAACCCGTACAAACTACTTTTGCTAAAATTAATCCTCAAACCCGACATCAACTCGAACCACCTCAAAATAGTTTTAACCATCTTAATATTTTCACTATCAGCCCTACCCAGAAAAACTGTATCATCAACGAACTGTAACAAAGAAACCACCAACCCTTTTTTACCAACTTCAACACCATGTAGTAAACCCTCATTCTCTGCTTTTTTGACCAACCCATTTAAGCCTTCCAGCACCATCAAGAATAGGAAAGGGGACAAAGGATCCCCTTGCTGTAACCCTTTCTCCACATCAAATTCCTCTGTCGGGCTTCCATTAACCAGCACTAAAACTCTAGCAGTTGAGAGACACTCCATAATCCAACCCCTCCATTTGGCCCCAAAACCAAACCCATCCATCATCCCATCCAAAAACGACCAATTAACACAATCATATGCTTTCTGAAAATCTGCCTTGAAGATAAAAGCTGATTTCTTCCTCATCCGAACCTCATCCACCACCTCATTTAGGACCAGAACACTATCCACTAATTATCGACCCCCCACAAAAGCGGATTGAGCTTCTCCAATAATTTCTAGCATAACTACCTCCAGCCTATTAGCCAATACTTTAGCCAGCAATTTATACACACATCCAATCAAACTAATAGACCTAAAGTCTTTTAATTCCCTAGGGCTCAACTTCTTAGGAATCAATGCAAGAAAAGAAGAATTCAACCCCTTTACCAATCTACTATGCTGATGGAATTCCCGAAAGAAATTAACAAAATCTTCCTTAATACAACTCCAGAAAAGTTTAAGAAAATTAAAATTATACCCGTCAGGCCCTGGCGCTTTACATCCAGCACAGCTCTTTAGCCCTTCTTCAATCTCCTCATCAAAGAAAGGTCGTTCAAGCCACAGTCTCTGCTCATCAGAAATCCTCTTAAATACTAGATTCATTGGCTTGGGTCGGTTCCAATGTTCCTCCTGAAACAGGTTGCGGAAAAAATTAACCACCTTTTTCTTTAGGTTAAACCCCCTTTTTGGTCCCTCAACTATCGTACGGACCCCTGATTAAGTCCCTCAACTCAAAAAATCCCTGATTTGGTCCCTACTGTTTACCATTTTAACCCTGACTTGATCCCTCCTTTAAAAATCGCATGACGTGTCATATTAATTTACGGTAACACTATGACATGTCAAAACACGTGGAAGACACCATGGCAAACAATAGTGATATGGAAAAAAATAATAATATGGTAAAAAATATTAATATGACAAAAAAAAAAAAACTTAAAAAACTCTTTTCTTTTTTTTTTTTCCCTTTCTCCTTCCCATTGTCTTTCCATTGGGGTCATGGGTTCCTGGGTTCCTTGGAACCCAGGCGTTGGGGTTCCTTTGAACCCGACGCTGGGTTCGAAGGAGCCCAAC